CCTAATCTGTCCAATCAAGAGTAATCCAGTTAGACATTTTTTGCATTTCATCAACATAAAATCACAACTTCACAACTGCTTGTAGTGATGTTTCATCCAATCTGTGGTAGGTAACAAATAAGCTTAAGCCTATTAGAGGAATGACAATAATGTAGAAATGAATATATGCTATCCTCACATTTCTCTTCAGAAAGCATATATGGTATTCAAGGGAAGTGGGAAGAAGAGGTAGAAGGAAGATGATATTAGGGCCACAAATCAATGTGGTATTAGAGCCTTTCATCATAATTTATTCAATCTGTAAAACTCTGTATGTTTTCCTTAGGTGCTTTCATGTGTTACTAGAGATTTATTAACTTTTAAAATGATTAAGAAGGTTAGAATTTCACTCCTATATTAATGCTATGATGCCACAAAGAGGCACTTAAAACGTGGCCTTTGAGATCTGTGAAGCTAATATATTTTAAAAATCTACAACGCAGCATACTAACAGCTATTTAGAGAAGAGTAATTTGCTTCTTTCTTATTTTGAAAAGATACAGAATACAAAATTGGTTATTACATATTAAACACGTTACACAGAAAACTACCGATTAGTTCATCTAGTTATCTTATTAACATCACATCAGATTCCAGCAGGATTCCTGGCATCTCTCCTCTTTAGAGCACGGGAAGTCTTAGGGATTCTGAGGTCCTGGGCAAAACTCAAGGATGGGGGCCCAGAGTCACTCCGGGGGGCAGGGTGTGGTGTGGCCCCTGCATCACCACCCTTAGCTCACTGCCACTGCCGGCACTGGCTGCCGCTGTCATTTTTGCCCAATGTAAGAGGCTGACAGCAGCCATCTTCTTGAAGTGCATGAAAGCCTTCGACAACATATATAGAACAATGTTCACAACAAATTAAAATATATATATAAGAAATGAAAGACTATTTCTTACCGAAAGGAAGTGTTCTTTTCCTTTTGCTTTGGTAAAATTATCTGAGGTGCAGTTTGACCAGCTGCAAAAGCAAAAGTGCTAAAGATGGACTGGGGGTAGCGAAACTTCAGCAGCTGTTTCTTAAACACCTCTACAACTTCAGGGCCCACTTCTTCATCAAAAGCTACCTTAATCAGCTATGTATAAAAAGATGTAATGCATTAAGAGAAAAACATAAGAGAAAGAACTAGGCATTGAGTGGAAATACATTTTTAAAATTAGGTTCACAGAACATTATATACATTAAACCAGAAGTTTAAAGAATTGATTTATCAACAATTTGTTTAAACTCTATGCTCAATACGGGAACCTCACTGAAATTTCTAAGAGGAGGATTATACAAACTCTTAAAAGAAAAAAAATGCATATGACAATCTAACCATAATTTTGGCAATTTATGTTTGACAGTTTTATTAGGTTAGCCTCAAGAATAGCAAAGGGAGTGGGTGATAAAAAGTAACACAGTTAATATCTTAAGACCTAATCAATTTAATTTTTGATATTTTATTATTTTATATTTTAAATTCATTTACACCCCACCTGTCTCCCCAATGGGGACCCAAAGCAGGCTTACATAATTCTCCTCTACTCCACTTTATCCTCACAACAACCCTATGAGGTAGATTAGGCTGAGAGAGGGCGATGGGCCCAAGGTCACCCAGCAGCAATGTTCCCTCTAAGCTGTGGAGTCTTGTGAGCAAAGCGTCTACTTTGTGAGCTACTGCCATTAAAGTTGTGAGTGAGCAATTTGGCTGCTGCATAAATTAGTTTGCTCTGGAGCCATCCTTCCTGAACTAAGACAAAAATGTGTGAGCTGGAGGCTAAAAAACTGTGAGCTAGCTCACACTAACTCAGCTTAGAGGGAACACTGCCCAGCAGTGGCACAAGTGGGATTCCAACCTGGGTCTCCTGGATACTTTCTGGACAGTCTTAATCACTATGCTACTCTGGCTCACAGTTGTAGCACTCATGTAAGGGATTAGAGAAGCGTATTCCACTGTTTATTAATTTCTCGATGAGAAAGTAAAACATGGCTTTTATCAAGCATCAAGGGAATCAGTAACATAGTAAGTAAAGCAAAAACAAGCCACTTTGAGCCAAGAGGAATGGCAGGGTATAAACATCTTAATAAATAAAAAGCAGGTCTTAAAATGAATTTGGAGGAAGACAGGTGCTATGCAGAGGGAAGACTTAAACGTTTTATCCAAAAGAACTGTGCTCAGGCAGAAGGGAAAAAAAGCCTTTCCCTGTATGGTTGTCAACTCTGAAGTAGGGAAATTGCAGTGCTATGTGCAGTGTGATTCACCTCCCCTTTTGATCTTTCTCTCTCTCACAGTATGATGGATAGGCTCCCTTTAAAATGGCACATTTGCCCCATTTCATGTGCCTCTTTGCGGGCAAAATGCACTCTCTTTTGGAGGGCAGTGAAATGCTTTGCAAAACTTGAGGGTTCTGTTTTGGCTCAGTGCTACTGTATGTGAGGCAGACGTATTTTGTTTCTAGTTCTTGGTAATTCTTCTCCATAAATTTAGTGGTCCTGTTGCTCTAGGATGACCCAGACAAAGCGCCTGAATCTCTCCAAGTTCTCTTAATATTAATATTTAAACACATTTGTGATGGACAGGTTAGGTTCAGCCTCTCCCTAAGAGGAGCCGATGAGAGCTTATGGAATGCTGAGAGAAGAAGGAGACTTGAAAAACAGCAGCTGAAAAATGACAATTAGGGGAACAGGCTGAGAATCGTAAATTTGTATCTAAAGGATCTAAAGGATCCCAGTTCTAGGTATAGGACTTCAGTTCAAAAGTTCAATGGAAGTGATACTTTGTTTCTTAGACTTTACTTTCCTCAGTGTTTTGTTTTTACAGATGAAAGTTTCTTGTTTTAACTCTGTGGGCTGCGTGTGTAAGGGAAAGAACCACATACACACGTCAATTTATTAAATTATAGCAATGATATCCATGGCTGCAAAAGGATTGTTCTAATTTTCCCCAATTACAATATTACATATTAAATTATAGCAATGATATCCATGGCTGCTAAAGGATTTTCCCCAAGTACAACATTACATACCTCTTCAGAGGTATAACACAGAAAGATGGAGTATTCTCTGTGTTAAAGTGAGAAGAAAATAGCACTACAGATAAGATTAGAATTTCAACAGCCAATCCACATGCAAAAGAACCTCCTCAGGAAACAGGAAACCTCCTCAGGAAACAATCCATATACAAAAGAACCTCCTCAGGAAAGCTCCTCCATTAGCATGTCCACAGCCTGGGGAACTCCTACAAGATAATGACACAGCCCTACCCCACCTTCCTGAGTAGATATAAATTACCTGCCTACCATTTTCTTCTCACCTCGACACAGAGAGTACTCCCATCTTTCTGTGTTATGCCTCTGAGGATGCCAGTCACAGCTACTGGTGAAACATCAGGTCCTACAATGCCAAGACCACGGCCATACAACCCGGAAAATCTACAACAGCCATGGTCAGATTATCTGGGGTGGTATCTGGGTGGCCGTCCAATAACAGATACAGTTGGGTGTCATCAGTATACTGATGTCACCCCAGCCCCAAACTCCATGCTAGCTGGGTGAGGGGATGCATGTAGATGTTAAATAACATTGGGGAGAGGAGCGCCCCCTGAGGGACCTTGCATGTTAAGGGGTACCTGGAGGACACACTCTCCCCTGGCGCAACCCTCTGTCCCTGACCTTGGAGGAATGAGGTAAGACATTGAAGGGACAGCCACCGTACTCCTATGTCAGTGAGGCAGAGGGTCAAAAGGTCCTATGTGACCGTGTCAAATGCTGACAGAAGATCTAATAATAATAGCGGCCTTGATCCAGCAGCTTGCAGAGATCGTCTGCCAAAGCGACCAACACTGTCTCTGTCTCACGGCCAGGGCGGAAACTGGATTGAAATGGATCTAATACTGATGTGTCATCCAGGAAACCCTGGAGCTGTTCAGCTACTACTCTCTCAGTTACCTTGCCCAGAGAAGACAAATCTGAAACTGGGTGGTAATTAACAGGATCAGAAGGATCCAAAGCTGGCTTTTTTAAGAGCAGCACAACCACAGCCTCCTTAGGACCCTCTGGATAAGTCCCTGTTTCCAGGGACAAGTTAACAATATCCAGGGGTCATTTCCTGCAGGAGTGCACAGGAGCGGAGCTCCGGCAGTAAAGAGCCCAGGGGGCGGGCACATACAACAAGCCCCACCCCCTGCTCCTAGCAACCCTCAGTCAGAGCAAGAAGCAGCCAGGTAAGCTGAAGAGCCCCCCCCCCTCAGCACCCCGGTCCAAAACAGACCAGTGACACCTTTAAGACCAGGTTTTATTCAGGTACAAGCTCTCCCTGCTCTGCGAGGGCAGATCTGCACGTCCCCCCCCCAATAGCTAGCAATCCAAAACAGTCCAGTGGAACCTGAGCGGTGGGCCTTGCCTTCTGACACACTTCCGATGATGTAAGGGTGTGTGGCATATGCAAATAAGTTATGCGAATGAGTTATGCTAATGAGCTCCTGTGTCTCTTTTTCTACGAAATGACCCCTGACAATATCCATCCAAGGGCCCCATACCCTCTCATCACCAGCCTTTACCAGCCACAAGGGGCATGGAGCAAGGGGGCACGTGGTTGATCTGACAGCACCCAGGATCCTGCTGACAGGATTGGAAGAGAGCAGGTTGAAGGTATCGAAAACCGAATCTAAAGGCAGCCACGGGGTCTCCAGTTCACCTACTGTATCGATATTGGCAGGCGGGTCATGGTGGAGCGACAAGACTTTATCTGCAAAAAAGCTCACAGATGTCTCAGAGCTAATGGTCAGATTCCTACTCTTTTGGTTCCCCTTAGTAGGGGATGTAAAGGACTGAATCACCCTAAACAATTGTGCTGGGCAAGAGCTAGTGGACGCAGTGGAGGTGGAGAATTCTTTCTTTGCTGCCTTCACTGCCATCTCATAGGATTTCGTAAACGTCCTATGAGATGCTCTTGTAGCTTCGTCATTAAGCTGTCGCCAAACTCGCTCAAGTCGTCCGAGTTCTCGTTTCATCCTCCTGAGTTCTGCAGTGTACCGGGGGGACAATCTAACATCAGAGCACAGAGGGCGCCGGGGAGCGACCTCACTGATAGCTTCAGAGAGATGGGAATTCCAATCCTCTACTAACTTATCTAATGAGGTGCCAGAAGGCATCAGATCCCACAGAGCATTCTGGAATCCAATAAGATCCATTAGTCTCCACAGGCGAGTTTAAATGAGCTTGCTGCCTAGACATTTCCAAGAAAGCCTAGTCTGCATTTTTGAGTAACTCTGGAGTCTATGTATCAAATCACTGTGGACTAAAATAGTGTTCTGGGTCTGTTTCTTTACTAAGTCCTACATCTAGTACATGTTGTCATCCTCCTAGAAAGTACAGAAGCTATTCTTTCTACCAAAGGACTGTCTTAGGAACTCTATGGAGTGCTTTGAGGACAAAAATATGTCATTTTCCAACTGTATTACTGAGGTGTCAAACTCATTTGTTATGAGGGCCAGATCTGACATAAATGTCACTTTGTCGGGCCGGGCCATATGTGCCATAAAACGTAATACCAAGTACTGGAGATAGAAACTGTATAAAGGACAGCGGCTGGTAAGCTCCAAGTTGGTGTGTCCTCACTGCAAGGCCCTCTGGGCTGGGAGGGGGGTGCAGAGGAAAACCCACATAGGCGGACTGGAGAGGCAGTAGGGCAGCTCTGGGCAGATGCTCCCACGATGCTTGACTGCTGTAGACGAGGTTGTTCCGCTGTGCTGAAGCCACAATGGGGTGGCTCCACCCACTCCACCCCAGCACTCCTTCCCTTTTCAGCTCTGGCCTGGTGGAACACTCTCCCAAACGAGATTAGGGCCCTGCGGGATTTGCTGCAGTTCCGCAGAGCCTGTAAAATGGAGATGTTCCACCAGGCCTATGGCTGAGGCGGCGGAGATCCAAATCCATCAGCCTCCCCAACCCCACTTCTGCACCGTCTATGCAGCACTGTATATTCATTGCTCTCTGCCACTTGCCAAGTACTTGGTTCCATCTGTGGGCATACATACTGGATGTCCTCTGGGGCTGTTTACTAACTGTCTTTGATTGCCATCCTATGTACTATTTGCTGCTGTATAGGTGTTGTGAAGCAAAAGTGCCTATGAAGGATTAAGTGATGTAACAGTATGTTAGCCTTCTTCCTAGTGCAGCTGTTTTAAGCTTGTTATTGTTAAGGTGCTGATTCTAAGGACAGGCAGACCTACCAATTAACTCTATTCGGAAAAACTGTTTTTACCGTAAAGTGGGGGCAGCTGATATTTGAAAGGGAAAAATAGTGTATTTTGACACCTTAGCTGGGGAGAAATTTAGCCTAGGAGATTCTGGGAACTCCTGTATGCGGTTCGTATTTGCAGACCTCTACGTGAAGCCACATTCCTCGTTGTGACTTATGGCCTATGCTTCCTGAAAACTGCACTATAGATCACAGGTAGTTTGAGTTAGTGTTTATTATTTTGTTGTACTCTCTGAAGTGTTTTGTTGCTGGATTTTGTATTTCTCTCTTTTGATCATTGTTTTAAATAAATAATTTCTTTTAAAACTTAAGTTGGCTCATGTGTGCTCCAGTCTTCTGTTAACCCACAAGAAAGCCTAGCTATCTTGACAGGTGGTTTTTAAAATACTGTGTAGATTGTGTTTTAATTATTTTATCGTACTGTGCATATTGGTGTTGTAACCTGCCCTCAGCCCTGCTGTACAGGGAATGGCAGACTAGAAATTCAATTAAATAAATAAATAATCAGTTGCTCACGGGGCCACATAAGAGCCTTGAGCGAGCCGGTTCTGGCCCCCGGGCCTTATGTTCGACTCCCCCTGTGTCACTCTTGATTTAACTCTCTTTTCTGACTTTGGCCACAATCCAGTACCTAATTAAGTATAGTCAAGCCCTGTTAAAATCCATGGAATTTAGATGAGCCTAGCTCGGTGTTTAACTGTGGCCTTTATCTATGGGCTTTCTGCTTGCTCCATCTCTGCAGATCCACCCCAGCTGGAGAGGAAGTGATTTATTCAGAAATCAGTGATATATGTCACGTTCGTATTGATCTTGCATGAGGGAATGATCTGGATTCCTCTAAAAAAAAAATTGTCTACAAAGTTTCAAGTATAACTCTGTTTTACCTGAAAGGAAGCTGAAGTGACCTGCAGCCCTTCCTGCATATTCTGCTGAAGTTGATTCTGGATGGTAATTTTCTTCTCCTTAGTTATTGAGGCAATGGGGAAGCTCCGAATAACTGTCTGTTCTCCCACTATGTATATCAGATAAACATTGCATCATGGGTCAAGAAATGGAATGTCTTCATCCTTTATATGCTTTATACATAGTACAGGTGTGATCACTCTTACCCAAATACAATGTAATGGAATGAAAGCACAGTCATTATAGAAATTATTAGATCGATTAAAATACTGAACTCATTGCAGGATACACGTTTTAAAGAGCATATCAGGACCAAACACACTGCCAACTTCTTATTTCATGGTTTGATGCTTACGTTAGAAACATCTCAGAAAAACTGTCCACATATCTAAAAAATGCTGAATTTACTTTTTTGCCAAATGTTAGAATATACTGTAAATTTCTGCTCATATGATTTCCAATTTTCACATACTTCCTTCTAAAGATGCATGGAACCAGGATGTGTAAGTTAAACTGTGTTCAATGGAGAGTATTTCTAAGTGTGAACATGATTACAAACTTAGCTTAATTCAGCAATTTGAGCAACTTGGCTATCTTCATGAGAGAGATGAATTTAGAAAAATAATTAGTTACTCTTTGAAGGATCTTAGTAACAGGATTTTAATTATTATCCATCTATTAATCAAAAATATGAAAAGTGTTTCCTACACAAATAGTTCTTAAAAGATATAAATAACTAATTTGTTTCTCTTGAGGTTCTATCTCTCTTGCAGGGATTTAACATTTTCCTTGTTGTGAGTATGCCATATTTTATACAAGAAAATTTGATACTTTCTCCATATGGTGTATACATTGCTATTCCGATTGTGTTGTGGAATGTAAATGCTGAAGTGTCCTGAGTGTTTAAACTTTTGCTTTAAACCTTTATTTTTTTGTTTGCTCTGCAGTGTCCAGGTGCTCTTCTGTGACTACAGTACTAGCTCGAATCCATATTTTTTTTTTAAAAAAACAAGAAACAGCAGATTTGCAATACTTTTGCACAAAAGGAAAAAAATAAGGCAAGGTACTTCTGTTTTAAATGAATGGACAGGCATTTCTTTATAGGACACTAATAATTTAGGTTTCTTGAAGCTAAACAAACTCACCAAGACCACACTTTTGTCCAAATTTCTAATGCTGTCTTACCTGTTCCATCGTCATAACTATTCTTTAAGGCCAGTGTAATGTCAACTTTATTATTTGTAAAAGACACAGAGGTCGCTGTGCCTCATCCTAGCACTTATTCGCTGGCACAGCAAACCACAGGATCAAATCACCATTATGCAAATAAAAACCAAACCTGTGATTTTAAATGTAAAATGTCTGGGTACTGAAGAAAGGATCACTTTCATTACCATACCTATTTCTACAGCATAAAGAAATAATTGAAATGCATTTTTTATTATAAAGAAATAAAGCTACAGCTACAGTTATAATTTTCAAGACACGAATAAAAGTAATATTAGATCAAGCAATTGTGATTACTTTTATATATGACCAAGATAAATGATTTTATGATTCTTACTTTAATAGCTCCCATGACATTTTGAGTTATTCTACTTTTATTAACCTCTGCTCTTTTTCAGAAATGATGGACTACCTAGGTTTAAATTCTCTACCTTTCTGTCACAACCAATTATTGCTCTACTAGTTCACTTATTTCATTTAATTGGCTATGTACCCCTTGCTTCTAGCAAACTATTTAAACTTTGCCATACATGTGTCACAGAAATAGTCCAGCATATGAAAGTAATTTGGAACCTATACCTGCTACAAATTCCACCCAAGAATACTGACGGCTGGCATTCTTAGGTTTTAAACATCAATTTCCTTGTCATGTAATTAGGAACCCTTCATTTTGTGCATGCACAAAGATTAATCCATCTCAGCTTTCTTTAGGTCTACTTCATACATTTGTTTTAATTATACAATTGATTTTGGTCATCCCTGAGTGGCTGATCATATTAGCAAGTGGAATATCCGAGACAGAGTGAAGGATAATCGCCATGATAGCATCCATTAGTTTAGTTGCATGTTTCAAAATCTTCGAGATCATGGATGTTGTTGCTGACCAATAACTATGATCTCACGGATCACATATTACTGTTGTTTAAAGCCTTTTCCACACATCATATGGAGACTGAACATAGGGAGGGGGCAGAGAAAAGTGGCACCATGGTGGCAAGCGGCACCCCTGATGTGTGTGCATTCACTTAAGGTGTGTAAATGTCCCATGGGCATACAAGTGTGGGTACGCAAGACCTCTTTCCCCAGGATCAGAAATCCTGCTTTTTCCAAGGTTCTCCATTAAACAGAGAGGTAGGTGGTTACACACATACATGTATAAGCATAGGAACTTTTACATATTTCAGATGAGCATGCATATATGGACGTAGACTTCCTCTCTATGGAATGTTATGTCAAAAAGGGCTTTCTGTTACATGCTCTAGGATAAGTGGTAGGCTTGCCAGCTCTGGGTTGGGAAATTCCTGGAGATTTTGGGGGTGGAGCTTGGGGGAGGGGAGGGATCTTAGCTGGGTATAATGGCATAGTGTCTATCCGACAAAGCAGCCATTTTCACCAGGGGAACTGATCTTGGTTGGCTGGAGATCAATTGTAATAGTGGGGGACCTCCAGATGCCACCTGGAAGTTGGCAACCCTAACGGTACTTCTTGAGAAAATAAAACTTAAGCATATGAATGGGTCCCAACCTCTATTAACCTTACCATAGTAATGAGAGTAATGAGAACAGTGTAAGATTTAACTAACTATAGGTCTGCCAAAAGTTATACTGGTCAGAGCGCTCAAATAGTCTGTATTAAGATCTTGGAGAGTATTTTTTAATCTAAACGAACTACCAACCTGATATTAGCGTTAAAGGCATTCTGGAATAGAAATTCTGACATTCATAACAGAGATCATACCTAGCTGATCATGAGGTGTGCCTTTAAATATAACTCTGTACGTAGTAAGGAATAAAGCTCCTTCTGCAGGGAGAATGTGAGGGCCTCCAAGCAATCCTCCAGTTGCTTCCTCTCTGCCATCAGGATCCAGGAGGACACGGAGACCTTCACAGACAAATTCTTCCCCAGGTAGCAAAGCTGGCCGTAGAATCTTGGGCTGAGACCAAAGACAAGATTTTTAAAAAGCTGCATGCTACAGGTGTCAAACTGCAATGTTTTAACTGGACTTACTGCAACGTACATTTGTAGAAGAAAAATTCTATTACAAATCGGCTTATTTTGTTATCAGACTGTTTTTGAAAAAAGGACTCAGCAGTAAGTTGACATTCTCCTCTCTTTCTGTAGGCACAGTATCCCAACAGCAGGTTTAGTCCTTCCACTGCAATTTTAGAAGCAAGATTTTTAATTAAAAAAACTAGCTTATTTGCATAGAAGTGATTCCTGCATAGGTATCACACCAAAACTCAACAGAGATTTACAAGGGTGTATATGTTACATGTGATTCCACTATCATTTTAAAAGGACTTCTTTTCCAAATGAAGCCACTGAAGCCAGCCTTCCTTCCTTCCTTCCTTCCTTCCTTCCTTAAAGAATGGTGTGGGACAGGGTTCTCTTTCTTCCCCTTCTCCATCTGTTTTCCTCCTGCTCATCATATGGAGGTAAAGATAAGAGCAACACAGGGGTGGTGTTCTTCAGCAAGAAAATGGCAGGGAAAGGAGGGGTTATACAATTTCCCCCCTTACCACACATTTCTCCCTCTGAAAAAAACATGCCCACTAGCTGTATTTGAAAATGGAAAAAAAATCTTTTAAAACAGTCACAGAACTACTCATAATACGTTAGCATGATTTATGATTAGGGATGTCCCCAGAAGCAGTTCTGACCCAGTGTTTACTGGGAAGAGTGATCCACAGATAGGATAAAAATAGTAATTGTGTAAGAAAGGCTGCCTCTTCTTGAGAAAAGAAGCAAGGCTTAAACTATTAGACATACTGCCTCTGAAATATATGAGGGGAAAATTGATCTGCTTAGCCAGTTTTTCACTTTGGGAAGGTGGTAGATCATCAGTGGACATGTAGTAATATGTAGATTTTCTCTACTTCATATTTCACAAAACAATAGCCAAGCCGCTTATTTGCAAAAGATTTTAAATTTTGTTAGCATTCTTTTTAAATTTTCCAAATGTCATTTCAATTATATTAAAAAAAGGAAAACTGAAGTTATCAAATGAGCAGCATAAACATAGTTCAAAATATTTGCCTTCTGTATTGGTGGCAATCTTCTACTTTCCCGATGCACTGCCTCCAGGGTCTCAATGTGCATTGCTACAATTCCTGGGGAGAAACAATACCACAAATAAGCATAACACAGGAAGAGTGAAACCGGCTGAAATAATTCTACCATTCTAAAAATCTACCACTGAACTGCTTCCAAAAAGCCCAGAATAGAGCTATCATGTGACTATGTGGACACTGATGGAATAAAATTAGATCTGCAAACCCTTATTGCCAACTGAAAATAACTGATACAAAAAAACCCAAACTCTTTTCAAAAGTATCTTCTTAGACAGAAAGCAAAAAGAAAAAAAAACAGATTAAAGAGTTCAAGAACGCAGGTCTTTGTACCTGGAATCATACAATGAAGACTTCTGATGTGATCCTGTGTCACGCCACTTTCCGTACAAACCTTGTCGACGAATCTGGTAATGAAGCGCACGACGGCATTGGCAATATCGTTGTTCTCAGAATCCTCAAATCCACTTTCAGTGTCATAGCTCTCTGCAACACTTCCAGCAATACTAAGAAAGCAATCCCATTTAGTTAAATCCATGCTTATCTTAAAATAAATGACATGAATTTCTATGCAAAAAGAATTTGAAGACTGAAACATGCTTTTAAAAGTGCAGAATATCTATTGCCTTATATACGACTCTTTCACTCAGCATGCTTTTGTAAAAGGCGTAAAAGGTTTTGTAAAAGGTTCATTCATCAATTTCAATTTCCATTATGTCATGCCCAAGCACGCAGCTATGTTTACTGCTAGGTGACTGCTATAGTTAATATGCTGACTATTGTAATGGGAGTTCTGCTTACGCACCTATTTGTGACAACGCTATTGCTTCCACTCTCCCAGTCTCCTATAACAGTGGTTCTCAACAGTTTGTTTTTACTTGTGTCCAGTGGCACTAGCAGATAAACCATGAGATTCGCAAAATGAATTGCCTGGCTGAAAACCATGCTTTCCTCACTTTGCACCAGCTGTTGCTGAGTCTCTTTACTAAGTGTTGGCCAGAGATGAAGTTGCTCAGCAGCCAAATCCATGGCTGTTTTTTCTTGGGCTTGGCCCTCAGAAGTTTTTTCCTAAGGAAAAAAAATGATGAAACAATATTATATTTGTGACTTTTTTTTAATAAGTGGAGGAAAGGAATAGAGGACAAATATTACACACAACCTGCATAGCTAACTGATGTTGGAATTGCAGTTTCTTACTTTATAAACACCATTATCTTTCTCCTCTCACCTCATCAACTTGGTCATGCCATTGTAGGGCTGCCAAGTGGGGGCGGGGGGTGGGTAACCCCCCGCTTTGGAGGCCCGATTTCCACCGCCGTGGAATCGGGCCCCGGGGGGAACTCCGCCCCCCGAAGCGCAGCGTGGCTGTGTCACCAGAGGTGACGCAACCACGTCGACCACGTTGGGGGCGTGGTCCAGATTGTCGGAGGGAAAACTCTATGATTTTCCCTCTGACGATCCAGGCCATGCCCCCAACGTGGTCCCCCCGCCGGTGAGTTATTGGACTTGGCAACCCTATGCCATTGCCTACTAGGAGAACACTGCTCCTGATTTTGTCCCACTACTGCAACAAGGCAATGTTCTCACCCTACTCCTTGTGTTCATGTTTACCTGCAGGAGTGGGACAAAATCAGGAGCAGTGTTCAAACACAACACATTTATATCCTCCTTTCTGGCTATGGCCTTCAAGGCCAATCATCATACATTCAAAACAATATTTAAACCCAGCAAAACCCAGTGAAAGATCCAGAAAGTTGGTCAGTATCAGAAATGACAAGACACTCAATTCACCAAGATCACTGAAAGGTCACGACATGTCTATGTAAAAAAAACTTTTGTTATGACCCACCTGAAACAACAAAGTGGGTGCTAGGCCAATAGATAAGGGGAGGGAGTTCTACAGGTGAGGCACAATTTCCCCCCCTCCCTATAGCCACCCATCTCGGAAAAATGGGCACCCACAGATCTTCAAAAAACATTTTAATAACTGTTTCAGACAGATGCTCACAAAACCCAATGTCAGAATAATAACGAATAATACAAGTAGAATGCTGTAATGAACTCTAGTTTTTACAGACTTTCCCATGCAGCATCAACTTTGGTTATTCAGGCTTTTCTGTGTGGTTTTGTAGTACATGTTGATATTACTTTTAACTTTCAAACCCTTGGCACAGAGAGAGAGAGAGAGAGAGAGGAGAGAGAGAGAGAGAGAGAGGAGAGAGGGGGGGGGATGCGTCAGTTGGAGAAATAACATAAAACTAGCTCCCTGGTATAGATGATGCTGTCTAGTCTTCTGCAGTGTTCAGTAGGTAAGCCACATCTAGGCATAAATAAGTTTACAATGCAAATAAATGTTCATGTTTTCACATGCAAGACTTCCAATCCAACATTTGTTCTCTGTAAGCTAGGTGGCTAGAACGTAGGCAAAAATATTTCAGCCTGAGGAAATTAGAGCAAAGGTGTTTGGCAACTGTTCTCACATCATCTCATTTTGTTAGCATAAACCCACAGGTACTAACAATGGGTTGTATCCAGTTCTTCCTTGAGCAGGCCAGATATATTGAAGAGGTTTATCAGCTTCTCCTTCCTCCAGCAATATCCATTGTATGGAAATACAGCTAGAAGATGGAACTAGGCAGGGATATAAGATGTATTCCCACTTGCATGAGCGGAATGAGCTCCACAGACTTGAGCTTTACCTGCTTAAGGAGGAAGAGGTAAGTGCTGCAAGGTTTCTCTTCTAATTATTGCCCCCTGAGCCCTGATCCTCAGGAACAGCATTCGGAGGGGGAGGGTGCAAGGGGTTGCTGGAGGAGGGAAAGCAGGTTGAATCTCTTCTGTGACCTTGCTCCACTGACAGAAGTATTGAATTCAAACCTTAGAATTATATATAATACCTCCAGACTTCCTCAAGGAATGGGGAAGGCTTCAAAGTTGTATATACTCATTATAGTGTCCCAGCCTGGTTGCTTCTGTTCTCATTAGCATAATAGGCCACACCCAACAGCAAAACCAATCAGCATATTAGGCCACACACCCCTCGTTACCAGAAGTGTGGTCATCCAGCCACACCCATCGTTTGCTTCTTATTCTGTTTACCTTGTTTGTTGTCAAGAAAGAAGTCAGGAGGCAAAGGTACAATGCAAAAATAAATCAGTTTGATTAGAGCAGGGGAGAAATGCTTAGGGCAGCCAATTTGTTTACAAACTAGGGTTAATTCTGAATATAAAAAACATCCAGAGAGAATTGTGTTACTTTTGTGTTTTTCCTCTATGTTAGAGCAATGAACCAGGAACATTTAATATTAATACAGATTAGAACTAATTTGTGACAATATGACTGAAAATCAGGATTGAAAATTCTCTCAGATTGTGGGTTTTATTCCAGGATTGAAAATTCTCTCAAATTGTGGGTTTTATTCCATTTCTTATGTATAGATGTATGTATTAGGGCAACAAATAGTATTATTGAAATACCTTTAACCAGCTTCAGTTGGTTCATCTGCTTCAGCCCCTCCCAGGAAAAGCATACCCTGGCCACAGGTATCCAGGGCTATTTTTGGGCAGGAACGCACAGGAACGGAGTTCCGGCTGGCTCCCCAGTTGGCCACACCCAGCAGGAACTCATTAGCATAATAGGCCACACCCAACAGGAGAAACTCATTAGGATTGGCTACGTTAGGGGTGTGTGGCCTAACATGCAAAGGAGTTTCTGCTATAAAAAAGCCCTGGGTTTTGACAACGAACAAGGTAAACAGAATAAGAAGCAAAAGGTGAGTGTGTCTGGATGACCACACTTCTGCGAACATGGGGTGTGTAGCTTAATATGCTAATGAGCTGTGCTGTCAGGGGTGTGTTCTAATAAGCAAATGAATTTCTGCTGTTGGGTGTGGCCTATTATGCTAATGAGTTCCTGCTGGGCTTTTTCTACAAAAAAAGCCTTGCAGGTATCCATGCTTTGGTAACATTCAGATTAGATTATTGCAATGCACTATTATGAGGGGCTTCCCTATGAAAACTGTATGGAAATTTCAAGTGGTTCAGAATTCAGCTGTCAGGGCCAGACTGCCAGTATTCAAAGAGCTTCACCAACTTCCAGTTTGTTTCCAAGCAGAACTGCAAGGACTGATTTCACCTATAAAACCTAAAATTATCTGGGTGATTATCTGATTATAAAACCTAAAATTATCTGGGTGAGACCATCTGCTCCCATTTAGATGTGCCTGGTAGCTCAGATCTTCATTGGATTCTTGCTCCTGAATGTTTTGCTGTGTGAAAAAAGATGAGTAGCTGCCAGAGACAGGGATTTCTCTGTGATAGTGTCTTCTTTGTGGAACTCTCTCCATATCTGTCTGCATGATGCCAACCATAATGATATTTAGGCACCAAGAGGCTGTTGCTTTCCCAGGTATTCTATGGAATTTAATTGGAAGTTGCTGCTGTCTTACCCAGCAGTTGGCGCTGCTTTAGCTGGATATCAATATTATCTTCTTACTTGTTTTTACCCTAAGTCATTTTGTTAATTCGGCAGGGTATAAATACTTTACCTTCTGCTTTAAGTGTTGTGGATGATTGTCTTCCTTAGCTGAGAGGTAGAGGGAACGGATTTGATTTTGCACTTCACTATAAAATGTTGTTTCCCAGAACTGTTGATTAGCCCATATTGGGTGATCTTGTACACAGGTATAAGCAAACTGACTGACTCCCGGTGCTAATTTCTGAAAGCACAATAAACAGGAATTTCATATAAAATCAGTCTGCAGAATAATTTTCTAGAGAAAAACCGACAATATATTGACATTAAAAACCATTAATAGGATAGATAATTGTGGTACATTTAAAAACAAGTAATCTTAAATATGCATGTGCATATATATCCAGAGATAAATTCTCTCTTATACATTTTGATGAGTGATGACAAAAAGGAAATAGCGGCTTACACCTATCTGAAGACAATTCTCACAGAAGCCTCACTCTTAGGACTTGATCTGAGAAAACTTATCTCAGATAATTTTTTATTTTAAATTTGTCCAGCTGTTAAATCATATAAAGTTTACACTATGTCATCTTTCCCCCCCAAAAAACAATAATCAACTAAATTATTTAAGATGTTTCCCCAGCCCTCTTTAGTCAACCATCAGGTGCTTCGTAATGAGAGCAAGATGAGTTATTCAGTTCAACCAAACTGCAGCCAGTAGATGGCAATAAATTTCTGTAGAAATAACAGCATTTCCCCTCTGTTTGGACTATCCATACAACTACAATGCCAAGTCATTCACCACCTCAAAAATCACAGAGTGCCTGTCTTTGCTCCCAGATTTGCTTATAAGATCAAAACTATTTTTTATGATTATGTATTTATACAATTTCTATTACACTGCACTACAGCTCCTCCCATTCAATAACCCACTTAGAATTAACCCTAAACTCGTATGGTTAGTTGGTTCCATATTGGGCCAAAATGACCATGTAATACATGGTGTGTGATAGTGGTGGTGGACACTGTCTGTCAAGTATCTTCTGTATGCCCCAGTGAATTAATCTTGTCTTTTTTTTTAAATGCTCACTGCTATTACAATTTGTGAATCTAGGTGCTCTGTGAATGGGGAAGACAGAAGTGAAGGAGCGGTAGCTTGGTTTAACAAGATGAATCCAATGAGCATCTTCAGACTTATCCACACTGACAGTGACTCTCCATGTCCCCCCAATTCTAGAAATCTCCTAGAATATTCTGTGGTCTATTCAAGAGAGAAACTGCAGTTAACTTGAATTCATCCATATGGAAGGCCCAAGTGACTTGTTTTAGAGTCGATGCAAGCCTGTGCATTTATATCCCAATTCTTGTATGCAAATATGCACAGTTTTAAAGCTCTCTGTTTTAAAAGTAAAAGTGAAATGGTTATAGAATAGATGTCCAAATATGGGTATATAATATTATCCGATGCAAACAAAACATGAACATGGAGAATAAGGCTAACTATACAGTAGTTTTTATATATACATATACTCTTATACTTAACAAGACGGGGACCCGCGATACTCGCGGGGGGGGGAAGAAGAGCTCCGTCTCCTCCGTCCCCCCCTGCTCGATCACTTTCAGGGGGATTTAAACATCCCCCCGAAATTTTTTTTCTACTTTTAGCATTTTTGTGCACACGGGGGGACTGGCCCACGTGTGCACAAACCTCCCCCTCCCCCCCAAGTGCCCCCGGAGTGCTGATTTAGCGATCCGCACTCTGGGGGCAACTTGGCTATTAGATATATAGATAGGGTTGCCAAGTCAAAAAAACTCACCGGAGGGGGAGCCTCGCCGGACTCCGGGAGCTGTCCTTGGATGCGCGCGCGCCACCAGTGCATCACCGGAAGTGACGCGCGACGTTGATCATGTTGGGGGCGTGGCCCGGATCATCTGACGATCCAGGCCATGCCCCCTACGTGATCGACGTGGTTGCGTCACCTCTGGTGACGCAGCCATGCTGCGCTTCGGGGGCGGAGTTCCCCCTGGGGCCCGATTCCGTGGCGGCGGAAATCGGGCCTCCAAAGTGGGGGTTTACCCACCCCCCACCCCCACTTGGCAGCCCTAATACTTAATGGAATTTAAAAGTGCTTAACTAGGCTAGATCATATGTACTTTTCCACTCTCATACATTTGACTGTTCAGTCCTGACTCAATCTTAGCCGCTATTGAAACATCTCAATAATAATATAAGGTGTGAATATTTAACTTTCATTTTCAGTGTCTAGCCTCAGGATCCGATTGTCCTTTCACTATTCTTACAAAAATAATGTAAATGTCAGTTCTGCTAAGTGCGTCATTAGAGCCAAGTTATAAAACCTCAGCACGGAACATACTAGAAATTCTGACATAACTTTATAACTATCATAGTGTGAATGGCGCCACTATAATGTGTATATAAGACTCATCTGCCAATTTCAACATGCTTAAAAATAGATAAAATATTGAAACTGAAAACTACCTGTGGCACTACACATTTATGCAAAGTATTATAAAGAAATAATTCCCAACTGAAATTGTGATTAGAACTGACCTCACCATTAAGGGGGGGGGAGGGGAGAGAGAGAGAGAGAGAGAGAGAGAAAGAGAAAGAGAGAGAGAGAGAGAGAGAGAGAGAGAAAGAGAGAGGGAGCGCAAGGGACACAGAAGCGGCGTGGAGCCACTG